AGACACACAGAAAGAGAGAGAGAGAGAAAGTGAACAAGCAAGAGACCAGGTCCAGAATTCAAACTGTGACTGGCCATGTGGGAGGCCAGTACTTTAACCACCATACCACCTGCTGGCCCCTACTTTAACTATGCTTTTTAACAAATATACCAGCAAATAAGAAATTCAGTTAACAATATAATTTGGTGAATGAAGACACCATTTATTAAATTTTATACTGTCATCTAATGATTAATAAACTAGACTTTCATGATAATAAAATTGACACTTTATTTTACTATTTAATTTGAGACATAACTGTCAAAATTAAAAAAAAAACCCTTAGAGAGATTACTGCATTAAAGTTTCAAAATCCTGAATGTAAAACTGAAAACCCAGATGTGCATCAGAAATTATGAGCCCATTGGTTAGGTGAAAAAACAAAACCAATAACAAAATAAAACCAAGAAAACCAAACTGAGGCTTATTTAGAATTCTATGACTATATTTCATTTTGGGACTCACAGAAAGAGTCCATTTTATGTACACCCCAAGTCAGAATACATTATATTTTAAAATATCCAATGTCTCCATGATACTACATTAGTGCTTAACTGAATTAATAAATTGAGACATGAAGATCAAGCTCATAAAACTGACTATAATGACATCTTGTACTTGATACATATACAATACTTGGAAATATATTAGCTACCCTTTCATATGCATTCTGGGTTTTCACAGTAGAGAGACCCATAAGAAACTACCATTCACTAAACACCTAAATCAAAGGCATTTTGCTGGGAGTTTCCACACATATTAGCTCATTTATAACAAAAACTGGGACCAGCGTAGTGGTTACGTTGCTGGACTCCCACATGGCCAATCACAGTTCGAGTACTGGACCTGGATACTTGAAACTCACACCAGTTGTGGGTGCGTGCGTGCCCACAATCCTGAAAGGAGAATGGAGGAAAAGGGACTGCGGCATGGCCATCCCCTCTGGGGGGTGATTTCTCGCTTTCTGTCTCTCTGTCTCTGGTGAGTGCACGTGCCCTATAGCAAAAATCTTAAAAAAAAATAGACCTAATTAAGTTTTATATCATTTATGATCTACCAACCTTAGCAACTAAATTATAAGCATATAACAACATATTTAAGGTTAGCCTAAGCTAAAACACTACCTTTAAAAGAGCATAAAAGACAGACAGAGAGAGAGAGAAAGAAATACAAAACAAAATAAAGATTTTTAAAAACAAATATGATGGAGCCAGCAGATGGCATAGTGGTTACATTGCTGGACTCCCACATGGCTGACCGTGGTTCAAGTCCCAGACCTGGTAGCTTGAAAATCATGCCAGGCACGTGTGTGTATGCCCAAGATCTCAGGAGGAGAATGGAGAAGGGACTGTGGCTTGGGCATTCTTTTTGGGGGGAGGGGGGTTTCTCTCTTTTCCTCTCACTGTCTCTATCTTTCTTTCCCCAGTGAGCGCACGTACCCTAAAGCCAAAATATCTTTAAAAAGAAAGAAAATCAAACATCACATGACTGAATCACATCTATTTCTACAGCTGACTGTGACTGGAGTTTCATACTTAGTGAAACACTTCGTAAGTAGAGGACTCATAAAATACTCTAAGGCGCCTCGTACAAATGCACAAACATGACAGATACTCAATAAAATATTCTTACTTCCTGCTGGTATGTTATCGTTGTTGTTCATTTATTTAGTAAAACTCTGCCAATAGTGGCATTGACTTGCAAAATTTCTGAGGTCCTGCCCAAGCTCTCTGAAGTCCATATTTATCATCTGTTCCAACTAACAAGCTATAAGCTTTTACTATGTATTATACTTTTCTATTTATGGGCTGACTCTCAAATACATGAGCTTGTATGGCTGGTATTTTCACAGTCCTAACAATATCTAACATAAATTTAATAACTTTTTAATAAATCTGATGTTTCATAACATCAAGCCTTATCAACTAATGTTCTGGCTAAACAATTACATAGTTTTGCTTAAACCATCCTGCCTTGCCATGTTCTGTCAAATAATGGTCAGCCTTCTTCAAGTGAAGTTCAAAGCCCTGTAATTTGGTCCCCCCCCAGACTTCCATTCTCAGCCTCCATTCTAGCAGCCGACTATGCAGCATTTATCATACATACGTACCACACACATCCATACATACTTCTGTGCCTGCAAACACCTGCAGGTCTGATTCCCCTCGCAACTTGAGATGACATACATCTGTTTATTCTCAAAGCCCACCATCAATTCTTCTGTGAAACTTTCCAGATTCCAACACCAACCCTACCACTGTCACCCCAACTCCCTCAGAGGATGAACCCCTGTCCCTATTTAGCAACCACTTTTTTAAAGCATTTTTCTCAGATATAATTATTAGTCTGCCTTTTCCTTTGTGAACTTCCTGAGACTTTGGGTTGAACACTCCATTTATTGTCCTACTCAGTCCCTGCTATGTAGCTCTCCAGCACATAACACAGAATTGAGGATCATTTGTCTATATAATTACCTCTCCTATTAGACCTGATGCTCCTCGAAGATATCGTCTTATGCATCATTGTTTCCCTAGGGCCGGGCAAGTACTTGATACACAGTAGGTGTTCAATAAAGGTTACTAAATTAAAAAACAAAATACAATTGCTCTCTGACAAATGAGAAACAAAGCATTCAGTTAAGACACATCTCAGCATTTAAGCAGAAGCTCTACCCTCAGTGACGGCACATGAGCAAATGAAAGCACATAGGCAGCAGATTGTGAAGACTTCGGGAACTGAGCATGCTGCCTGGGGCAGCCAGGCTTTCAGCAAAGGGATAACACAGACCCTTTAAATACCGAGCAAGGTACTCCCATTAACCTTTGGAAGCTTATTTACATGGCAGTGGCTGGTACTTTAACATTCAGTAAGATATGCCTAATAAAGCTGCCTCCTCATGGCCGCTAAGTGACTGAACAATGCCACTTAAACATTTTCTTAGACAACAATTAACTAAGGGAATAATGTCTACATATACTTTTTATTTAAAAAAAATTTTTAAAGAATTATTTAATTTTATTTATCATTATTATTTTAATTTGCTATAGGGCATGTGTGCTCCCCAGAAAGAGACAAACAGAGAGAAAGTGAGAAAGCAAGCTGTCAGGTTTAGGATTTGAACTGCAGTTGGCCATGTGGTTGTCCAACACCTTAACCACCAAACCATCTACTGGCCCCTATATGTATTCTTTTTTTTTGAGAGATTTTCACTGTAGGGCGCGTGCGCTCGCCAGACAGAGAGAGACATAGAGCCAGAAAGCGAGAAATCACCCCCCAGGGGGGATGGTCATGCCGCAATCCCTTCTCCTCCATTCTCCTCTCGGGATCTTGGGCACGCACGCACACGCGCCCGGCATGAGTTTTAAGTCACTGGGTCTGGGACACGAACTGCGGTCGACTACGTGGGAGTCCAGCGACATAGCCATTACGCTAACTGCTGGTTCCCTATATGTATTCTTAAAATCAATTAATTATATGAAAGATTTAATAAATAAAATTTTTAACAAGACTATGAACCAGAATTAATGTGGTATAATGTTAAAAAAAAAGGCAACATTCTAATTTGCATTATGTATACCGCAAGAAAATACGCTTCTGTACATGTATGCTGCAGCATATATTTTTTTTTAAAAATCTGTGTTCATGTTTTAACTTCTGAGTACATAAGTCAGAAACCACAGAACGAAGAGAATAGAATATAAATGCCTTGTTATAAGCATAGAAAAAGATATGGGAAAGTTCATGGAGAACAATCAATTTAGCAAATACTTGTGAAATGTCAGCAATTACAGAAAACAGATGATATTGTAATGTCACTTTTCTCAAGAAACTTACAATCTAAAATAAAGCTTGACACTACCATATACATAGAAATGAGCAAATGTAAGTAAAGATACCACTGAACTTGAACTTGCCTTAAATAGAAAAATGTTATGTAACTATGCCTAACTGTTGCGTGTTCTACGAAAACTAAACAATGATCTTCAAGAAATTTAAATACTATTTCTTGACTATATGAAGGTAAGATTTTTTCTTATTTTAGTTTTTGCTATGGGATGTGTGTGTGTTCACCAAAAAGAAGCAGACAGAGAGAGAGGGAAAGTGAGAAATCATCCCCCTGGCAGGATGGCCACACCACAATCCCTTCTCCCACAGTCTCCTTTTGGGATTTTGGGCAAGCATTTATACGTGCCCCACATGATTCTCAAGCTGCCAGGTCCAGGACTCGAAACTCGCAGCTGGCCTTGTGGATCCAGCGCCTTACCTTCCACACCACCTGCTGGTCTGATAAGAAATGTTTTAATAAAATGTGCTTCAAGCTATAAACTTTTGAGAGGCAAACTTAAAACTACCTTAAGAAAAATAAAATGCTACTATATTTTGACACTAAAAAAAAAAACACTTCATTGCATGACCATTTTATACTATATGAAACATATATTCTTAAGGTCATACTTAATATATGTAACATTATTTATAAAAGTTTTAACTTTCTGTGTTTTCTTTTTCTGTTTTCTCATAGGAAAAACAACTATACTTCACAAAACATAGTAAAAATATAGTCCTTTACATTAAAAATAAAATTTGCCAATGAAAATGTGGCAGAAAGATTTCCATTGGTGGAAAAGTAAGTCAGAAACTTTCGAACTCCTTTGTAATGTGAATAGCAAGTCAATAATGGATATAAGAATACAAATGTATTCAGTGGATGCTATCTCTTATTTATTCTTAAAGTTCTGAGCAAAATGACTTCATGACCCAATTTCGAATAGCTGGTTTTATTATCTTTGTGTTTTTGCCTACAAGGTACCTACATCATTTTACAAAGTAAATAGGTATTCATTAATTAATGATTGACTTTCAAAATGAACAAGACTACTAACTAACCAGGCCAAACCATTTTTGAAACTTATTTGTTACTCGAGATTATTTTTTCTGCATGCTAGTGAAGACTTCTTTACCTGCAGATGGCTGGGAAACATTCTTGAAGACCTTTCTTCTTAACTAAAGATCCTTCAAGGCAGTACATAATGATGTCCATAACCTTTGACAGAAAAGATGCAGATCTAAAATTAATTTCAAATACTTAATTTTCCCAAATTTAAGTGATCAACTTAGACCGTAATTGCTTATAAAAATTCTAGATAGTTTGATTTTAGTATTTACTTTAAAATGAAACAAAAGCAAGTTTAAACACATGTATTCTACTAGCTATCCTTCCCCATATCTGTGAGAAAAGTTTAAAGGATAGTACAGTAAAATAAAGAGGACAGACTTGTTTACCTTAAAGTCAATTCATATTTATGTATAGCATAGGTAGCTTTTAATCAATACCATATATTTTGCTTTATTTATAATGAAAGATGTCAAGGAGAACGTAATCTTCAAAAATTACTAACAGAGATCAATTCCATGTGAATGGTGAACCATTCTGATTTCTGAGTAAGTTTAAATAAGGACATGAGATGCGGCACAGAAGTTAATTCATTTTAGTTATCTCTCTTCCTTACACACACATATACTCTCAATCTCCTTCTCTGTCTACCTGCTTCATCTTTTAGAGATGCTGGAAATAAAAATGCTAATTTATATTGATAGTACTGCAGTGAAATATTTAATTCTGAGTACTGATGCATCATTTACATTTTTAAAAAGATTTATTTATCTCAAGACCAGCAGATGGCTGAGTGAGGTTCAAGTCCCAGACCTGGTGGCTTGAAAATCACGTTGGGTGCGTATACGTGTATGCCCAAAATCCCAGAAGAAGGGATTGTGATGTGGGCATGCCCCCAGGGGGGGTGATTTCTCCCTTTCCTTCTTTCTGTCTCTCTCCTGTGAGCACACATGCCCTATGACAAAAACTTTAAAAACAGCTATAAACATATATTTACTTCATCTACAAGTGAGAGAGAGACAGGGGCAGATACGATCCACTCCCAACCCCAGCCAAACCCTGATCATGGGCACACCTATACCTTGTGTACTTGAGGAGGTCTCCAGATGAGACTCTGGAACCTTCTCATGTGGCTCTGTCTTACAGGGGCCAGTTTTACCACTGTGCCAATGTATAGCCCCCTTGGCACATCATTTAAAACAGGATACTCTTACCTCCACAAGAAGATCCACAACATCTGTGGGCATCTTTTCGATGAGAATTTCAATGACTCTAAGAATTTCTCCTTTAGCTCGTGCAAGAGTTGTAGTATGTATATTCTGCTGTGATTGGGTATTTGCCGCAAGAGCCGTATGCCTGTGCACCTATAAAGACATTTCCATGTAGATCCCATTCATATGTGACATTGTTTTACATTCCCAGCTACTAGTTTATTTTTCACTTACTAATATGATAAAAAAACAATAATAATAAAAAACCGACCAAGAAAATGTTTTCGAGTTGAGTAAGGAAATACTTAATGGTTGCAAAAAAAAGTATTTAATATGAGGGGAGGTCTTTAAAAAAATACATGGAAAATGCATATTATGAAAAAACCTGCATACATTGATTTTAAAAAATGTTTTGCATCCAAATAAACTCATACTCTGATTCCTTTTTTCTACCATAAACTATCTGAAGTCTCCTCATATAATAAAAGCTCAAGTATTAGCTAATAAAATTCTAAGTATTATGAGACCTTAACATAATATTATCATGACATCTAAAAAAAAAAGCCAGAAGATTTGTGAATTTGGTATGTTTGGTAGAGAGGTGGTAGTAGTTAGGAGATGCCAAGGAAATAAAAGGTATAATCTTTGCTCTCAAGTCATAAGAGTAAATGATAATTATAAAGCACATACTATGTGCCAAGCATTATTCTAAGTGCTTTATAGTCAAGGTGGCAAATCCAAATAAACAGACTTCCAAAAACAATACGCATGGTAAGTAATACAAATTTGGTGTGACTTTTCTCATACAAATTGTCAGTTTTACAGCTCTGAGGAGTCGAGTGCACGTCAGTGTGGTAGGGAACAGCAATAACAGTGAGAAATATTTCATATTTTACTCTAACATGCTAAGAATTTAAAATGCAGTGAAAAATTTGTTTTTAAATGTTAATAATCGCTGACTCTTACACTGAAATATTTTGAAATTACCCTTCCAATTAAATCTGGAATAGAATGAAACCAAGGCTAGGATAGTCTAACAATTTGCTTAAAAATACTCATATGTACTTGATACAATTAAACTTAAAAACTCAATTAC